AGCTCTTCCTCCTGGAGGAGATGCGAGAGCGGAAGTTCGACGGCTTCGCCCGCACCATCCAGAAGGCCTGGCGGCGCCACGTGGCCGTCCGCAAGTACGAGGAGATGCGGGAGGAAGGTGAGCGGACGCCGGGGGCTCGGGCGTGGACGGGTGGCCCGGAGGAGCCAGGCCGCCACCCCCGCCTGCCACCCTGTGTCCCCACAGCCTCCAGCATCCTGCTCAACCAGAAGGAGCGGAGGCGGAACAGCATCAACAGGAACTTCGTTGGGGACTACCTGGGGCTGGAGGAGCGGCCGGAGCTGCGCCAGTTCCTGAGCAAGAGGGAGCGGGTGGACTTCGCCGACTCGGTCACCAAGTACGACCGCCGCTTCAAGGTGAGGCCCTGGTGGGTGGCCCGGCCCAGACACACCTGCCTGCGAGGGGAACCCCCCCCAGAAAACAGAATTTATTTATTAAAAATTGTGGATTTACTATGACAGCTTCAAACTTCAATCACCTTCCAGGAACTCTCTGACACCTATTTTCAACTGCTCAGATCAGTTTTTGGACTCGTCTATTTTGAAGCCTTTGAGCGTTTCTGCCATTTTTTGTTTCACCTCTTCCACATCGGGCAAGCATTTCCCTCTGAGCGTTTTTTTCATCCAGGGAAACAAATGGAAAAAAAAAAATACTCGCTGTGGGCGAGATCAGGTGAATAGGAAGGGTTGGGCACAGGATTCATGGTTTTGGGGGAGGTTTTTTTGAGTTGGAGTCTCACTCTGTCACCCAGGCTGGAGTGCAGAGGCACGCTCCCGGCCACCGCAGCCTCGACCTGCTGGGCTAAGGCGATCCTTCCACCTCAGCCTTCCAAGTAGCTGGAACTACAGGCACATGCCACCACGCCCGAATATTTTTTATTTTATTGTAGAGATGAGGTCTCGCCAAGTTGCCCACGCTGGTCTCAAACCCGCGGGCTCAAGCAATCCACTTGCCTCCGCCTCCCAAAGTACTGGGATTATAGGCTGAACCACCAAGCCCGGCCAGCCATTCATGCTTTTGAGTTTGAGTCTCACTCTGTCGCCCAGACTGGAGTGCAGTGGCCGCTCCCGGCCACCGCACCCTC